CGGCCCGCACGCCGCCCGCCGACCCAGCTCGCGCCGCGGCCCTTCGCCTCGCCCCCGGGCCGGCCGATCCGGGGGCGCGCAGGGGGCAGGGCGGGCGCCCCGGCGAAGCCCGAGGGACGCGCGTGCGAGGGCCCCTTTGTGGACTTCACGGCTGCCAACATCTGGGTGCAGCGCGGGCCACCGCTGGCCGCCGAGCCGCCGCCTCGCCTGGGGGACCGTAGGAGGCACAGCCCCGAGGCCGGGGACTTCGCTTTGGGACCCGGTGAGAAGGAGGGGCGCGGCGCGGAGGGGGTGGCCCTCGCAGGTCCCGGGAGCTTTTCCCGGTTTCCCCTCCCCTTCCCGGGTCATTCCCGGCAGGGAGGGGACGAGGTAGGAGACAGCGGATGGAAGCCGGAGATCCCAGGTTCCCGGAACACCCAAGCTGGGGCCCTCGGGCTTCTCACGTCCCCTCCCTGCCTCTGCCTCGTATTTCTCTCTCTGCCCCCCGCCGCCTGGGGCCACTGGCCTGAGCGGCGCCCAGAGCGTTCCGGGGGCCCTTCTCGGCTCCCTGCCCCGGCCACGCTCCTGGAGACCCAACTTCCGCGCCCGAGTTTCCCACTCGGCGCCCTGCCAGTGGGCCCTGGGAAGGAGCTGTCTGGGGCTACCTTGCCGGCAGGGACGAGGGCTGGGTGGGCTCCGCGGGGCGCCCGGGTAGGAACGCGAGAGCCCAGGCGAAAACCTCCAGGGCAAGCGGGTGCCCTGGCCCCGTCTGCGGAGCAGCGGCGCTGGGGCGGGCCTGGCGCGCTGGAGGGTTCCGGGCACTCATGCGGCGCACGCTTGCCTCCCTGCAGCCCCCCGGGATGCGGTAGCGGCCGCTGTGCGGAGGCCGCCGAGCAGCTGCAGCCGCCGCCGCGCAGATCCACGCTGGCTCCGTGCGCCATGGTCACCCACAGCAAGTTTCCCGCCGCCGGGATGAGCCGCCCCCTGGACACCAGCCTGCGCCTCAAGACCTTCAGCTCCAAGAGCGAGTACCAGCTGGTGGTGAACGCAGTGCGCAAGCTGCAGGAGAGCGGCTTCTACTGGAGCGCCGTGACGGGCGGCGAGGCGAACCTGCTGCTCAGCGCGGAGCCCGCGGGCACCTTCCTGATCCGCGACAGCTCGGACCAGCGCCACTTCTTCACGCTCAGCGTCAAGACCCAGTCGGGGACCAAAAACCTGCGCATCCAGTGCGAGGGAGGCAGCTTCTCGCTGCAGAGCGACCCCCGGAGCACGCAGCCGGTGCCCCGCTTTGACTGCGTGCTCAAGCTGGTGCATCACTACATGCCGCCCCCGGGCGCCCCTTCCTTCCCCTCGCCACCGACTGAACCCTCCTCCGAGGTGTCAGAACAGCCGCCAGCCCAGCCGCTTCCTGGGAACCCCCCCAGGAGAGCCTATTACATCTACTCCGGGGGCGAGAAGATCCCTCTGGTGTTGAGCAGGCCTCTCTCCTCTAACGTGGCCACTCTTCAACATCTCTGTCGAAAGACCGTCAACGGCCACCTGGACTCCTATGAGAAAGTCACCCAGCTGCCTGGACCCATTCGGGAGTTCCTGGACCAGTACGATGCCCCGCTTTAAGGAGCCAAGGGCAGGGGTGGGGGCGAGGGGCCTGGTTACCCTCACCTCCGTGGCACATGGCACAAGCACAAGAATCCAGCCGTGAGTCCCGCAGCTCTGGGTGAGCCAGGGGGTGGGCAGCCCCGCCCTCTGGCCCTCCCCTCTGCAGAATGGGGCAGGCGGGACCTGGAATGTGTTTGAGGGAAGGGGGAGTGCCACCTGAGTGCCCCTCCCCCACTCCAGCTTCACGGGAGGAGCCTGATGACCCGGCGGGACTACTGCAGCGACCGCAGTGGATTCTCCTCTCCTCTTCACTTCCTCAACTCCCCCTGCACTTCCAGACCGGGGACACTGCGGGAGTGCTGAACTCGTGAAAACTGCCGGGAATCCGCTAACTTTCCAACGGAACTTGGAACTTGTTTGCTCTTTGATTTGGTTTTAAACGTGGCTTTAACTGGCTTTAACCCTGAGCGAGTCTCGGGCCTGGGAAAAGGTGGACGAGAGAGGGTGCCTCAGGGGCCCCAGGGCTGCACATTGGCCGAGGAAATGGCCACTCCCACCACCCAGCCCAGGTGAGGAAGGTGGCTGCGTGCTTCTTCCTGGGCTTTGGGGAGAAGGCCTAGGGGTGACCCGAAGGGGACCATTCTGCTTCCCCCCCCTCCCGCTTGGGACAGCCACCAGGAAACATAGGTCCTAGAGTCCATCAAGAGCCCAGGGCCCTTCCCGCGTTTTAAGGGGGAAGTGGCATTTGGAGGGGGATGGGCGAGCTGGCCATTTGTTTCGCCACCCACACTAGACTTTCCAGCACCTGGGGGTGGGGGAGGTTGGAGGAGATGAGCATTTTGACCCCAGACCTCTGCCAGAGAAGATGAGGGATTCTACTAATGTGCCTCCTGACTATGTCTGGCTAGGAGATTTGCCTTAAATGCTCCCTGTCCCATGGATAGGGACTGGCACACAAGAAGCCACACACTCAGCCAATCCAGGCAGAGGCCAAGGGATTCTCAGAGGGCAGGCTGCTGGCCACTCACCATTTGGGGGTGGGCTCAGAGGTGGACGATCATGCCTTCCAGCTGGGCGCTGGAAGAATGCTAGCCCAGTTGGTATTGGCCTGTCACAGGTGCCTCGCAGTGCCTGGGCTCTGGCCAGAGCAGAGCCACTGTGTCCCACAGCCCTCCCTCTTCCCCTGGGAGGGGGGCACAGGCGGGAGTCATCCAGAGGCCAGGGCCCCTGCCCCCCACCCCCCAGCTGCTTCCACTCTGCAATAGCACTGATCAGTGAAAACTTACAGGAATGTAGCAGCGATGGAATTACCTGGAACTGTTCTTTTTTGGGGGGAAATTAAGCAAACACACAAAGTTTTCTGTGTCAGGTATTGGTCTGGATGGGAGAGCTGTGTGTTGGGGTTTTTTTTTCTGTTATTTTTGTTTCTGTTTTGTTTTTGATAATGTTTACAATCTGCCTCAATCACTCTGTCTTTTATAAAGATTCCACCTCCAGTCCTCTCCCCTCCCCCCCACCCAGGCCTTCAAGGCTGTTAGGAGATGCTTGAAGAACTCAACAAAATACCAATCCATGTCAAACTTTGCACATATTTATATTTATATTCAAAAAAGAAACATTTCAGTAATTTATAATAAAGAGCACTATTTTTTAATGAAAAACATGACTTGAGCCTTTTTCCCCTGCCCCTTCGCAGCCTTGCTTTCTCTTTCACCCACACCCACACTCTGCACCCAAGAGGAGGAGAGAGAGAGCTGCAGAGGGTGGCAGCTCTGTCCCCTTGCTGCCCTGGCGTCCTCAAACTCGTGATCACGTCACTTACAAGCTCCGGCAGCCACCTAGACTGTACCGAGAGGGTAATTCCTGCTAGTCTGATTCAGATCTGACCAGAATATGCAAAGCAAGTTCGAAGGAAGCGCTTCAAAGGGCTTGCAGGGAGTAAGCTGAGCTGTGGTCAAAGCTTTTAGAGGCTCCAAGCTATTAGAGGCGCTTGGCTCCTAGGCAGGGAGGTGTTCCGAGAAAGCCCAGACTACAGGGTCCTGGCGGTGACCCGTGACCTCAGCATAGCTGGGTTCATGGAAGGTGGGAAGAGGGGTAGTGGATGCAAACCCTGCAGGCAGGTGGGGCCCTCGCAAGGACCACTGCCTCCCCACACCTCCAGCTCCCTTCCCAATTCCTAGGAGCCCCAGCCTGAGCGGTGGATGGGGCCATGGGCCTCCCCAAAAGAGCACCCATCTATTCATCTATTTTTAGTCACTCCCGCCCCCTGGGCACTTGGAGGCTAACTGGGTTAACCTTCCCAGCCACCCACACAAGGCAGGTGCTATCACCTTCGTATTCTCAGACACAACTGTGTGCTCCTTGGGAAGGGGACTTGGACTGGTCACTTCTGATGCCTAGAATGGTACTCAGTAAATATTTGTTGACTCCGTGGGGGCAGCCACCCAGGTTCACAGAGGTTCAGTAACCTGCCCAAGGACACACCACTTGGGAATATGGGAAGGACACAGGATTGAACCCAGCAGTGTTTATTTCCAAAGCCCTATATGGGCTCTGCCTCCTTAAGCACGACGTATATGCCCAGGGTTGCCCTTAGGTGAGACCCCCCCTGCAAAGCCAAGAGGTTAGTACCCTCTCACCCCAGTACTCAGGTTTCAGCCTAGGGTTCTGATTAAAAAAAAAACACAAAACACCTTCTCTGTGACATTTTCTGTCCATGCTTCCTCCTCCCCTAACCCTCAAATCTGACAGCTTGAAGAAATAGGTGTTATCCGCCAGGCGGGGACTGAGTCGCCATCTCTGAGCCTCAGATGCCTGAGACAAATGCCAGGCCTCAGATAAGCTGCTCCAGGAATCCGTGTCCAAAAGGCAACTGAGAGAGTAAATAAACAAAGTCGTTTTTCTTTCCCATTTCCTGACCCTTTGAGGAAAATAACCCCAAGTGATGAGAAAAGGCCAGGCGACATGTGAGACTGCTGAGCGGACAGAGCATATAGGACCCAACACAGGGAGACCACCACCTCTAGAACTGGGAACGCAGACCCACATGAGGTCACCTGCCCAGAGCACAAGGTGAGGGGTCCCCGTGGGGCCTGGCTCCCCAACGCCTCCCAGGGAGGATGAGAGCCTGGGAAGCTTCTGGCAGGCTCTTCCCCACCCTGGGGCCTGCCAGGCTGCCACCATCTGCCTTCCAAGAGACTTGGAGCCTGGAATGCTCCAAGTCCCTTCCTCTGCCCAGAAGGCAGCCGTTTCGCCGGTGTGCACAGAGCGCTAACAGAAGGGCTTGGCCTTCTCTGGCCCCGAAGGAAGCTGCTCTCCCAGATCCCGGGTTTGAAAGCAGAGGCAGGAAGACCCCCGCCTCCTAGCCCTGGGTGCCTACTCCAGCCTTCTTCCCATACCTTCCTTTCCATTTTCACACCACAGATGGGACAAATCCTCTGGTTTTGCAGACAAGGAAACAGCTCCAGAAAAGGACAGCAACGTGCTCAAGTTCACACAGGAAGCCAGTGTCAACACCAGGGCAAGAATCCGTCCTCAGCTGCTCTGCTCCCCAGGGCTCCTTCCTGTTTCCCTCTTCCTTCCACCCTCCCGGTCTATTGGGCTGTCGGAAAAGTCATGACGCCTTTTTTGTTTTTTTTCGGTGCAAAAGTGCGTCATGACTTTTCCGACAATCCAGCAGAAATCTTTGTCCTTTCCAATTCTTTTAGGGGCAGACACCCGTCCTCCAAAGGACTTAATGGGGGGCCCTCTGTCCTGGCCGTTGGAGGAGAGGTGCACCTGGCTCCGAGATTTGCTAGAAGTGCCCTGCGGTGCATAGGGTATGACTCCCTGTGGCTTCAGCAGGCACTTATGCCTCAGTGGCGTTAAGAGTACAGCTGGGGGGGGGGTCCCTTGTCAACGGAAAGTGGGGAGATGCTGCTCTCAGGGCTGAGCCCCAGCTGCTTCTGGAGCTGTAAGAATTCCACCCCCACCCCCAAGAGGTCCTATTCTATCTCCAGTGGTGCTGTTTTAGGGCAGGTCTCCTGATGAGTTAGAGCCAGAAAAGGGGAGTCTAAAAGGCCTACGGGGGTGGGGGGCGGGGAGAGGAGGAACCCATAGACTAGAGGGCTGGAGATGGAAAATAAGCCCGTACGTTGTGTCCTCGTCTAAGGGGTACGGGTGTTTGGGAGAAGGCACCGCCGGGGGAGAGAGAAGGGGGGAGACAGACAGCCACAGGGGAAGTCTAAGCGGAGACAGAAGTCTGCGGGGTGGAGGACAACGTGCACAGGCGCGGGCCGGGAAGACCGAGGCCGAGGGGGTCCGGGGCGCATCTTCCTGCGCCGCGTCCCGTCCCCTCCCGTTCGGGCGGGCGCTTCGCTCCGAAGCCGCCCTCGGCCAGGAAGAGTCACTTCCCGGACACCGCGGGAGCCCTGGCGGAGCTATGCGAAGAATGTCCACGCCGAGCCCGGGAGGCGGCGCCACCCGGGCTCACGCCGCCGCCCAGCCGAGCATGCGCGCGGGATAGGCCCCGCCCTCGCCCCGCCCCTGTCCCTCCCCGCGCCGCCCGCAAAGCGCGGGCACCATGGCAACGGGATTACAGGCGCAGAGTGCTGTTTATTCTCAGCCTAGTGCCAGGAAATTCGGCCGGGAGGCTGCCAGGCGCACCTCCCTGGGGTGGGGGGGCGGGAGAGGGAGGCGAGGCGGTGGACCAGCGCACCCGGGGCTCCTGGGGACGGGGGGAGGAGGAAGGGAAGGAGAGAATCCTTCCACACTGGGGGTCACTGACCCTTCCGAGGAGAAGCAGCTCAGAAAGTACCGACTCTTCCCCAGCCAGGAGTGGGTCCAGCTTTCTCACCCCTCGGGAGCCTAGACCCCCTCCAGGCCAGCAGATGCCTCCCACCCTGACACCCCCCACCCCCACACACTCTATCCAGTGATCCTGTCCTTGGAGCCCACAGCCCCCTGCCTCTCGGTCCAGTCCCTCATTCACTCATTCATTTATTCACTCAGCAAATATCTGTTGAACACACCCTGGGTGTCAGGGGATTCAGTGTGGAACAAGACAAGGCCCTGCTGGTCACCCTCCTCTCCTGAGATCTAGTGGGAGTGACAGACAATACACTCCTAGTAAATATATAAATAAATAGGGACTGCTACTGGTACCGCAAAGCTGTATCTTCAAGTCACATTTCCAGTACATCGTACATTCACGATTTTGCCTCAGGTAGGGTGATTAGCTTGTCCTGGTTTGCCCAGCACTGTCCCAGTTTACACCTGAAAGTCTGGCAAACCAGGACAGTTGATCATCCCACCCTCAGGTCAGACTACGCCCATTTCAGAGATGGAGAAACTGAGGACTGCAATACAAGGCAGTTGTTCCAGGGTCGTGGTGCTAGTTTGAAAGAGAGAGAGCTGGAGGTCCTAACAGAGCATCCAAGGTTCTTTAGGCTATGAACGCTTTCATGACCCACAACCCCTTCCCCCCAAGGCCCCTGAGTGTGCAGAACCACTTGTCAGCCCCCCAGGGAGTGGATGAAATTGCTGACGCCTGGACTCCAACCCCAGCTCTTCTGAATCAGAAGCCCGCAGTACAGCCTGAAAATCTCAATACGCAACAGCTCTCCAGGTGACGGGGACCACTGCTGCCTTCGGGGGAAAACAAGCCTGGGTCCTCTTCTCTTTCTGGGACAGCGAATTTCCCCCTTGATCCTTGACTAAGCCAAGCTGGGAAATCAGCAGGGAGGGAAGGCCCGGGTTCACCACCCTCGCTGGGGCAAGCATGGACAAGTGCAGCCCTTCCCTTTCCCGAGGACAGGGGGGCCCCGGGGAGGAGGAGGACAGTGTTCCTTCCCCACCCCAGAGCTGAGCCCTCCCAGCTGTGTTGTGCTGGGAACAGGCCAGGCATTTGTGAAATCCTTGGGTGAGCCTGACCCACTGTCATGAGGACTGCCTGTGGAAGCTGGTGCAGGGAGGGGGTGGGGGGCTGTTCCCAGAAGCAGGGAGAACTCTGGACTTCCCACTCCTAAGCGCTCCGATTGCAGCACGGCCTTAAGCAACAGCAGTAGCCTGGAAGGCTGCAATGCAGAGAGAATCAGAGCCCCCCCCCCCTTCTGAAAAGAAACCAGGGCTCTGAATGCTAAAACTTCATGCAATCCTCAGGAATACCGTTACTGCCTCTATTCACAGGGTCATCAGGCCCAGCTTTAGAAAAAGGCTGACAACCTAAACTTCAAAAAAAGCAACCCAGAATGCAAGTTCGTTATTTACATTACACAAGAAAATGTATTTCCTCTCTTTCACCTCCCTTCCCCCAAATCTCAAATCTTCTTTTCATACAGAAACTGTTCTTTAGCATCCAGAATGTACAGGATATTGGAGGTATAGACAGGAATATAAGGACTCCGTCCTCCAAGAGGCCCTGAGTTGCACAACCATAGGGGGCACTATTCAGAGTCGCATCCCATGAAGGTGTGTGATAGGGGGCTGCGGCGTTTCTGAATTCAGGGTGCAGTAGCAGTGCCTGATGCTTGCCCTAACAGACCCCAGCTGATACCAAAGCAGACAGGAACCCTGTGCTGGGCACTGCAACCAACACTGGAGATTGATGCCGACCAGGAAGCATTCAGACTTCAAGAGGCTTATAGTCTGAAAGGGGAACCAGACATGAAAACCAAGAAGTA